ATTCGAAGCTATTCAAAAAATTCATGGTTACCATGATATTTCAAAAAAATATGAGATGTGATTCAGTTACTTTTCAGTTATTAAGGTGATCTCTTAACAATTGGTTAGAATTACAAATTGCGGTAGTACTTATTTTACAAGGTAAATTGCGCGAAGGAACGTCTGTGTTACAGATTAAGTCAGCACGTTCCTAATTGATTTTCATGCATGAAACGCGACAATAACTTTGCATGTTACGAAATGCGTTATGAATTATGTAACGAATCTCTATTGCGACCAACTGTAGTTTTATAAACGACGCAGATATTTCATCTGCGTGTGATTAATATCTATATCAGATCTGCAATATACAACAATATAATAATTATATATAATTAAAATATATAATTAATACTGATTAATATTGCATTAATTATATTTAATAAAAAATTTAATAAATGCCAGTAATAATATAGATACACATATCTAATCGTGTTTCCACCCGAGTAAATATCAAAATTTCTTTCACCAAAAACAATACCGAGTAGAACAAAAAACACAATTCAAGCTTCCAAATACTTCCAAACACCGCAAAAATTCTCCAACGAATCAACCCTAAAAAAAGCATACATTCGTAACCCTTTTTCAAAACTTTCCAAGCATCGGCGCGACGAAATAATTCTCAACCCCCGAATGACTCATCGGCAGTAGCTCACCCTTCGTTCCAACCCCCGCGTTGCGCCCCTTTCCATCCCCGGTGGGCACGGAGCGCCGCTATTTCGTTATCCGGTGTTAAACCGTTTTCAAGAATGGCGAGGACCATTTTCCATTTTCCCCGGAGTTTAGGACCGCGGCTGCCAATTAATAGCAGCGTTTTGCGAGCGCGCGCTGATGTCACTGCTCCGATCCCCTTTACGCGAGGAAGCAACCCTGTCTCGTAAAGTGGCCAATAATAATATCAGCACAGTGTCACCCTTTTGGCCCCGTTCGCTCCCCTCGCGTTCGTTCCGGGCTGAGCAACATCTGAAGCGTGCTGAGATTCCGAGAAGTCTGCACCCGGATTAGTCGTACGCGGACGCAAGGGGTTGCGGCTTAATATATCGGAGTCGGATGTTGGGGTGCTGCCGAAAAAGAGGACGATGGCCATGGTTACGCGCGGTTTCGGGCGTGCTTTGGTTCGCGAGGTGAGCGGGATTACGCGCACTCGCCCGCTTGTAAATAGACCGTGCTGGGGGAAAAAGGTTCGCTCGGTCCGCCCTCGTCTTTGTGGCTATGGAAAAAGATGAGGAACGTTAATGACACGCTGGTGGTCTGGGCCAGCGTGTCATTTTTAACTTCAAATGCGCGGGTTAATTTGTACCGCCGGGTCTTTAACACGAGGGAGGGGTTGTTTGGGCACAGGCGAGTATTATTTTTGGGAGATGAACGTTGTTCACCGTTGTCCTTGTGCTGTGTATTATTAGTATGGACGTTAACGTGTTAATGGTAGTAGCCTTAATGTTATTAACACTAGATTTACGGAATCCATGAATTTGACGGAAGAGTTGTACCAATTATACGATGGTAACAGATTTAGTTAATTTATATTAAGACTGTTAATATAATATATTATTGTTTTTAAATTAACCTAATCGTTAAAAAAAAGGCACGTGGTTTCTTTTACCTGTTAATTTCACAGGTGTCCTTAGAAATAGGTATACAGATAGTGTCTGTAAACCTAGTGTTAAGTTGTGTCAATGTTATATCATATAGTAATAATAGTATAGTAATAATATAATAGTGGTCTTAACTCGTTCATTGGTACGATAAAATTTCCATTATTCGTAGAATGATATTATTTGTATAATAAACGATATTAGTATTAATATCATTGTCAAAATGCGTATAATTAGTGTTATTAATTATTCCCGTCGATTTCGACTTTTTTTCGAACAAGATTAATGAAAACCTTGAGTTTACTTTAGATATCGTATTTATTTTTGATACACATTTAATAATAATTATTATACTTGGAGTACTCTTAATGGGGTGTTAAAGAATGCTTGATCACAAGCTTCAACATCGAGTAATGGAATTCTAAAGCGTTTTAATTCTTGCATCAAATTAATCCTACCTCATAATGCTCGAGTTACGTCAATTTTCTGACAACTCGACTTTGATTCGTCGATTCATCCCTTATTCGCTCACAAACTAAATTCAATTCCGCCTTACGAAACGTTGCTTAAAAAATTATACAACATTTTTTTAAATCCCCCCCTAAGAAAAACACAAAAAGAATGATGTACTAAATTACCGTAATAAAATTTTATTTTTCACGATTTTAATTCTCGCTTATAAAATATTAATTAATATATGAAAGAAGCTTCTCTCAAGCTCTACATCCACGAATGAAAAAGAAAGGGAAAAAAAGAGGTAAAAGAAAATTGGCATAGTTTTTTAAACTTTCAGATTGAAATATCCACTCAACGTTATCCCGATAGACGAGTTTTAATTTTCCAGCATAACCAGTGAAACTTTAAGTTAAATTAACGATCCGTGAATGTTGAAGGAGGCCTGGTCCATGAGAACCGGTGCTCAAGACGAATTTCTAAACGTCCCAGAAGGCAAAGCGAGGTCAGATTTTCCAGACTGCACGGTGCTCGCGAATAATAGCGGAACTCTTAGAACTTGTTAAGATTCGCGACAACCCGCTGGAGGGACGTTATCCGTTAATTACTCATTTCGCATTTCAACACTGGCCAGCAGGAAAATTCTGCATTTCCTTATTGCTCGTGCGGGGTTTGAAGTGGCCCGGGACTATAAATCACTGACATGTCACGCAAACGGTTTTACATCAAGTTAAGCCCGCCGTTCGTTAGAACGATGAAAATTGTAATCCAAATCTGGGTCGCGTTTAATTATAACGAATCGTTTCTTAAGTCCCACCTGATATCGAGCTGGCAAGTTTTAGGTGTCGTAGCGAAATTATAGTCTTCAAAGCCGATGGAATGCGAAGAATCCTATAGGGCAGCAGTAGAATTCTGTTGGAACACTACACGATTGGTCTATGCTACTTGAAAGTTAGAAATGTGTCGAATAAAAATTTAATTTTCGAATTTGTTATCGATGTTATTTTATATAATTTTTCGTGAACCGGTTTCAGAGGAGACTGAAAAGTTACGAGTGAGATCTTAAGCTAAATGATTATAGACGAATTTATGATCGACTATAGTTATTGGTTTTAATGTACAATTTTTTGGAGCAATAATAGTTACAAAAAGATTATTCAGTGTTAGCGTACTTGTACATTAATGAGATATTATATCGCAAGATGTGATAAGTCAGAAAAATAAGTTTGAAAAATATAGATAGTTGGATGTATAGTTTTTCGAGTTACAATGTGGTGTGTTGATTAAAGTCAAGTTTACCTTTACTTCATTTAAAGCTAAGAAAATTAATCGGGTATTGCATTTTTGATAAATACACACGAATCCAAGAATTTCTATGACACATCGAGTTTCGAAGAATTTTTCTACATTTCGGGGTTTTGAAAAATCGATCCTCGTAAATTGACAAAATTCTGTAAAACCCTAAATAAACGCCACGACAACTCAACTCGGTACTCTCAACCGAATTAGTTAGTTTTGGAAACATACGATACTTCTCGCTAAATATTCTACAAAATCCTTGCGTTAGGTGAACAGTTTGTTGAATACTGTTGGAAAATCGCTGTTCTGGTCTATTAAAATTAATGACTCGAAATTCCAGCCGGAGCCTTTGGGGCAGCCGTCGTCATTTTCACTGATTAATCGCATATCTATGCGCAAACCTCGTCCTTAGGATGTTTTAGTCTTAGACGATCGTCGCTCTGGAAATAGAAGGCAACCTTCATCTTGATCCTTTTTAAAAGTTTCATCTAATTCGGTCTAGTTCGTAGTGTCTATTTCCTATGGAATCAGGAGCCACCACGTGCCTCCGCTCCGTTTTCGGCCCTATTCCGAAAATAAAACGGTCTTTAAGCAACGGTGACGTTCTTTCATTGACGTCTCCAGGAAACATAAAGAAGGCTTTCGCTCCATAATTTGATTTTTTCTCTTTCTTTGTTGGCTGTTGGGAAGCATTATTGCGATTACGGGTGTCGTATCTTTTAATTAAGGAACGTGACAACGTGATGCCATTGCGACTGATAAACGCTGCAACTACCGACCTGTAATATGTACCTAAATATAGTACACGTAGATAATATTAATTAGAGTGGTACGATGAGGATAAACAGGTATCTATATATAGCTAGGTTTCTGTGCCAGTCAGAATTAATATTAATTTTGTTAAAAGGAGTTGTGTATCTTTGATAATTACTGGAGGGATTTTAAACCAGTCATTTTGGCTGGTTTGGTAGTTTCGTTGTTAGTGTTAACAGTGGACATATCACAGTCTAAATAGTCGTTTTTAAATATTTGATTAAAAGTTTTGCATTCAACGCTTTGGTCACTTGCCCTTTAGATCTTTTTTTAAATATAAGTATTAGAAATTTTTCAATACCTTCGTTTATTTCATTTTCTTTGAAGTTCTCCTTTTATTTATCCATCTATCGATCATTTGATCGGTCGTAGGTTTAATATTAATAAATAGATGAAACTTATGAAATATATATATATGTGATACTAATAATGGATACCTATGTGTGATTATTTTGCCAAAAAATGGCTGCAACAATTTTAGAAGAAAAAAATGTAAAATAAGTTAGTTTGGTTAGTTAATATTAGAACTACCAATCTAATCAAAATGATTATTTTCCTTTTTGCAATCACCGAACATATACACCTGCTTTAAGAATAAAATTGGTATCAACTCGTATTAACAAAGAACTGTAATCAGTATATTCATTCATATTCATCGTACCGCCGAAATTACTATAATCTGTGCACGTTATAGTTAGGTACCCATTAAAGATCGTTCTAGTGTTAATTCGATAGTCTAGTGTTAATTTTAAATTCGAATTATATGTATTAATTAGTATTTTTTATTTCCTTTTGTTGCAGCACGAATATGCCACTGCAGGACATTACGATGAGTCAAACTCTACCGTTAATGAAAGGTAAGTAGTTTCAATTCTATATTCAGTTATTAATTTTTTGCGTTATACGTAATCGTTGAATGAATTTTTAATTAAATATGCACCGAAAATACGCGATGGAAGGTTTAAATAAAATGAATAATATTTCTCGTTACGGAGAAAGAGGATTTCCGAAGAATGTCTGTTATCGATGCGCCAAATCTATAAGAATATTTGCCATAGCGGTTGGAAGATAGAGGAATATTGGCAAACTTTGTGTTCGTAAGATAAACTTCGTACTTGCGTGCGAATATAATCTGCTTTTCGTATAAATCGATGGATATATTTTGAAACGATTGATAAATTGACATTTCGAGTTTCTTTATAACATTCAATAATCAAAATAAAATAATTTATTTGATATACAAATTTTCCTCGTTCTTAAACTCCATAGAATTTATTTTTAATATTTAAATTAGACATTTTATAAATAACATTTATATAATTTAAACATAATATCGAGTAATATAATACAATTTAATATGAAATTAGAAAGATTTAAAAATTTAATAATATTGAAATTATTGATATAAAATTAAATAATACCAAAAGTTAATATTTTAATACCAAAGTTGCGTCATCTTTCTCAGACAATAACGAACGATGAGAAACTGTTTAATCCACTTTCCTCGGATTAATTACGGCTCATTTTTTCCATTCCGGCTACAGATGCATAAATTATATAATTGAATAATGGCATTAAATTGGACGAAACCCCATTTAATAGTACTTAATGCACAGTGCATTTGACTATTGCATCACAAATTGCATTCGACTTAAGTTAAAAATTGCCTAGTGTGAAATTTCACATGGTAACTCCACGAGACCATTCCCCACGAATAAATCCCCAAAATAGATAGAACTTTACAAACAGACCTTTCTGAATCCGCATATAATTAAATTTAAATATCCAATTGTATCAAATGCATATTACTCGAGCTCAAAAATTTGCAAGATATACTAGAATGACCCAAGATGACTCCTAAAAAATTAGATTTTACGTTAAACTGAACACATGCACCATGTGTCTCAATCAGCACGAAGTTTCACACATGCACGTGATATTGATTGAGACTAATTGAGATATGCGATGAAAATTAATTAACCCGGAATTTTGAAGATAATTTGTATAACGAATCACGTTGAACTTCAAAAAGTCCATATGGTATATGAACACCATAGAAGAGTCATTTTAGATCCAGTACGCAGTCACCCAGTCTTATGATACCATATTTATTTATATTATATTACATATACTATGTATTTTTGTATGATTTCGGGATTAATCTTTTCACAAATTTTAATCGCTACAAACTTTTAAGGTATTTTTAAGAAATTGATATCTTCGAACCCAACAAACTGTTCCCCCTCCAAATTGTATCATATTGAAATATTTCTCTTAGCCATCGAGTAACCTAAAAATCAGAAAATCGATACATCAAAACGAACCTGAAGACCTGGTTAAAATTCGAATAAAACGTTAATCACTATAGAACCTCGATAAATTTCCAAAATATTCGAAGAATTAACCATGACACCTTTCTGAGACTAGATCAACAGCTAAGAAGGAACTTAATCGTTCGATCAAAGACCATTCTAAATATACAAAGTGATAGATACTTTTATCTCGATAAATGATGCGTGAAGATCGACGTTGCAATTCCGAGATTAATGACTCGTTGAAATTTTTCAAAGGTCTATCAATCACCTTTTGATTTCCGGGATGGACCGGATACAATTTTACGGTGTGCGATCAAGGTAGATCGTTGCATAAGGATCGATCACATTTATCATTTATAAGTCCTGGCTCGGATGTCGTTCTCAGATGTCTCTGTAGATTAACTGATTGCTCGAATGGGAGGTCACCGATATTGGGGTTGACAATGGAACGATCAAGATTGTCCGATAGAGAATGATCTCAGCTTAGACGTTCGTTTGCGAAGACGTGTTACGCTTATTAGCCCGAGTATTGATCATGAGCTGGGTTCTCCTGTCGTGGTAGTAGATTCTATTTTCGTTGGTAAAGGAATTATTTTTTTTAGATTTCAGTTTCTTTGATAAATTTATCGAGTTTATGTAAGATACGAATAGAGAAATAATATATAGAAATTGATCTTGGATCGGTTTCTTCTTTCAAAGAAGCAAATGTCGTTTCCTGTAGCATAGGAATTTTATCGTTATGCAAAATTTAACACCATAATTTTATCGATTTTAGAAAAAAGAAGAAGAAGAAATGACGCATAGTATAATATTATACATAAAAATTGATTTAATAAATTCCAAAAATTGTATTTCTTCATTAATTCATCGACTTTAGAAGAGAGAAGGTAATATTTGTATAATTAACTATAATAAACTATAAAATAACCATCTACTGAATACAGAAGTTGAATAAGAGTCATAGATAATTAATAGTCACGAACAATGACTTTAGAAGTAATATTCTACTCGTTAATTTTTTCCAAAATTTATTTCAACCTCTGTTCCATTCTCGCATCAGCCTGCGAGCATCATTTCGCTACATTTGGCTGTTTACGACTGATCACGACTGACCTAATTCACGTCATCCGTATATATAACACACAGAAAGGGGATTTAAAACAGTCTTCAGCTCCGCAGCCCATCTTTCAGACCGCCTAAAAGCCATTTCCATCTTTTCAAACCGACCAATCTTCCTACCTCGTAACACATTTCACTCCGTAAGCAGTATCATGTTCCAATGACACCGTCTGTCTTCATCGACAAATTATTGCGCATAATTGCCGCCATCCACGAAGACGCAATCATCCAAAGCTGCACGTTAGACTGACAGAAGCTGCCACTTGATATAATAAAGTCCACGAGAATTTGCACAGCGTGGCGTCTCGGCAAATTGCATCTATCTCGATGAAAACGGGGCAACGAACTTTGTGTTCCACTCAACTACAGCTATTTTACGTCCACGCAGACGTCGAGGTACTCTCTCGTCTACGACAGGGGTAGTCACGCCCAGGGTTTCGAACGCAGGTCCCTAACTAGCGAGCTACCTCGGCCAAACTTCTTTCGCCATCGACGGGAACTTCGGGTCCAATTCGTCTCAGAGGTGTCTAAGCTCTCCTCAACTCGTGTTCTAATGGAAATACCACCTAGACACGTCGATTTATCCCATTCTTCCAAAATCCAGAAACACGCTCATAGCTGTAGCACCAGGAACCTGTGGCCGATGGCCAAAAGTCGGCTATATCAGCCTGGCCGCTTTGTACTAAAGCATAAATTTGGCCCTTGGTAAACGAATCTGTGCCAAAGCAGGTCGACATCTCGCCCCGGTTCTATCCGCGTTTCCGTGATCCGTGATCTATAGATAAAGATCGCACGTGCCCGCCGTTCCATGAGCCGCGGTTGATTTTCGCTCGCGCGCGAAACGCAACAGTTCCGTTTACAACAGCTGCGTCCAGATCGTGCTTAATTCCCATGCCGCATTGCTAGAGTTTATCCTTGCGGCCTGACGTCTTTCAGGGTGTGTGGTACGTCTCTGACCATGTGCAGAGTTAGGATCTGTCTTTGCGTCTTGACGTATTTCGGATCAGAGGTTCTGTTGCTGATCACATACAGTGCTGCGACTTGCCTTTGCGTTTTGATGCATTTTGGAGTAGACTTTTCATGGATAACCAGAGTGCTAGGATTTATCTTTGGGGTTCGACGCATTTTAGACTGGACCTTTTAGTGTTAATCTTGTGCAGTGCTAAAATGTATCTTTAGGTTTTGATGCACTTTGGAGTGGATATTTTATCGCTAGTTACACATACTGCTGGGATTTATCTTTGCATTTGGATGCAGTTTCAGGTAGACTTTTCATTGCTAATCAGAGTGCTAGGATTTATGCTTGCGTCTTGTATTTTATACACAGAAAATGCGAGATATCTCGTCAACGACCATTAATGACGTGGTACGAAATGCGAGATATCTGCGATTCGTCCACAATGTATTAAGATTATCACAAGGGCTGGTGGAGCCGCCTAGCCGGGTGATCGTGAGATTAGAGGGCGATAATTGAAACCGCTCGAGGAACTGCTCGATTCTGCTGGCGAGATTAATTAAATTTCGCTGGCTCGAGACATCTCGAGGAACGTTGGTTAAGGGGTCATTGTGCTCGACGAATTCCGCGAATCTTTATGCGTTTATCGATTTTAATGGATTTTTAGAAGAGCAGAGTCGAGCCGCGCGATCTTGAGTCGCGTCCAAGTCGCTGGTCGATGACGAGGGTTGGGAAGCTGGAGATGTTTTGGTAACAATGGGGTGATTGTTGGGGATATTGCTTTCCCTCGTCTTCTCCATTTCTTGCGACCTGTACAGGGGAGTCGTTGTACGATGCACGTCTTTCAATAGCAAGGTTCCACTGTGGAGGTTCGTTTTATGTCTTTGCGAGATGAAGAGAAACGATAGAGGGTATCTTCCAGGAGAAAGTAGATGCTCTTATACTTTTTGCATTTTTCTGCAGGTTGTATAAAAGAGTTGTACGATATATAATTTTTAATAGCAAGGTTTTACCGTGGAGGTTTATTTTATGTTTTTGTGAAATGAAGACGGGTGGTATAAGGTACCAGCAAGGTGAAAATAAATGTTTCTGCATTTTCTGCATTGTTCTGGATATTTTATAGAAGACTTGTACGATATATGTTTTTCAATAGCAAGGTTTTACCGTGGAGCTTTATTTTATGTCTTTGTGAAATGACGAGGGGCGACAGAAGATACTTGCAAGAAGAAAATAAATGTTTCCACATTTTCTCCATTTTTGCATTTTTCTGCAGATTATATAGGAAAGTTGTACGATATGTGTTTTTTAATAGCACGGTTTTATTGTGGAAGTTTATTTTATGGTTTCATAGGATGCGAAAGGGGGAAGAGGGATGTTAGAATAGTGTAGCTGAAAGGGAAAAGTAGATGTCTTTTTAAAGATGCCATCTAAAGGGATAAATTCTATTGCTGGAATGTTAGACGAAATT